GGCCAGAGGGAGGGAACGGAGGGGGAGGAGGAGGAAGGGGCGGAGACAGATGCGCTCTGACGCAGGAGTCTTGGGCGCCCCAGTCCTCGGCTGGGCCCCCCGGGACACCACGAAGGCCCCCTCCCAGGCACGGCGCCAGGCAGCGAGTGTTTAGGGGTCACCTGCTTGAATCTTTGTCATCTTTGCATTCTAGTCGCCCAGTCCAGGGCCTGTCACACCGTGGGCACTCAACAGATACTTGGATGAATTAATGTGGTCTGGAGACAGCCCTGAGAAGGCTCTGGAAGCATCTGAGGGCGGGGGGCGCCGTGACCCCTTCTTGGAAGGGCCTGGGAAGGCCGATTTCAGAGCCAAAGGGAACCTTAGAATCTGTCGTGCACAGATGGAAAGACTGAGAGCCAGAGAGGGCAAGACACAGAGCCGGGGTCCCACAGCAGTAGGCCAGAGCCGCACGGAGCCCACACCCCCTGCACCCCTGCTCCAGGTGAAGGGGGCTGCAGACCCCGCCTCCCCGCCAGGAGATCCTCCGCCCTGGCAGTGACAGCTGCCTGCAGAGCAGGGGTCAAGGAAGGGTGGGCGTGGTTGGATGGAGGGGCTGGTGCTAGTGGACAGTCTCTGGCCCGAGGGCTGGGCCACCCGCCAGGCAGCGGTGTCCAGAGGGTCAGCAGCTGTCTGGGAGCCCCCGCCCCCCTTGGAGGCGGAGATCATCGAGGCAAGGTCGGGGCAGGCGAGGCCTCTCCCAGAGCCTGCGGGGCCGGCTGCGGTGTCCACCAGGCCCTGACTGCAGCCCACAGGCTTTCCACAGCTGGAGGCCGCTTCTGCAGGGCCCAAGCTTCCGTTGGAGACTTAACCTAGGGTCCGCCGATAGGTTTCAGGGGTGCACGGAGACCTCCTCCGCATTACACGGAAACTAAAACTCGTGTGTCTGCATTTTTCTGGTGAGAAGGGCTCTCGGCCCTCAGCTGCTTCTTGTCAAAGGAGACGGTGACGTGGAAGGGCTTAGAGCGGATGCCCGGGAACCTTACGTTTCGGGAGGCGCTTGAGGGAGTGGGGAGAGGAAACGGGCACAAGGGCACTGGGGGATTTGGTAGCAGTCTGGGAATGGACTCCCAAGTCTCTGGACTTCCTGCCTTGCGCTACGTGAGGCCTCACACGTGCTGCCTCCTCCAGGAAGCCCTCAGGGAGCCACCCCCACCCTCTATTCCTTTGTCCACTCCTGGGAAAGACGTCTGGTGTCACAAGTAGCTGCTTCACCCTGTCCCCACTAGAGTGATGACAGTGAGATCCGGCACTGCGCTGCAGTCGCCTCTGTGTGGCCAGTGCTCATTACATAACGGACATCGTTTCCTGAGTGTCTATTACATGCCAGGCACTTACGTAATGCTCAGTACTCTCCACAACCACCCCACGAGGTAGGAGGCACTGCCCTCATTTTACACACAGCAAACACAAGACAAACTCCACCTGGAGTTCAGAGAGCTCGAGCGGCTCGCCCAAGTCCCTAGGTGGGGATATGGCAGCCGCCCCATTGCACCTCCCATGGTACCATGCTACCTGTGTTTGTTGACTGACTAATGAATAGCATCTGGCTGAGGACCCAGGACATGTGGCTCTTGATGGCCCCTCAGGGGGGTTGCAGAGAGAGCATCTAGGTGTGCAAAGTCCTGCTCCTAGGGTACCCTAGGAGAAAGGAATTCAAAGGAGGGAGAAAGAATGTGGCCATAGGTCCACAAGAGAGGTCTGGGCCCCTGTGAAGGCCCCTCAGGAGCCCCCATTGGCCTTCAGTGTCAGGGAGCTTGTGGTGCTGGCGGAGGGCAGGGTTGCTGTGTGGCCTTGTGAACCTGGGGTGGGTGTGGGTTTCCTCCCCAGTCACGGGGTTACAGGAGGGTCTGATGTGCTTGCATCTGTGCTTGGAAGAGCCTTAGAGAACCAGACTCACTGAGCACTCACTGCATCCCCAGCGCTGGAACCGGACATAGCCAGTTGGAGGATCCAGAAGACACTCAGGGCCAACCCCTTGGGGTCTCCCACTCCACAGAGCCCTGTGAGCCCAGAGCCTCCCTCTCTGCCCTGAGCCCTGTGTTCTGGGTCCCAGCCTGGCTGTGACCTTTCCCTCCGCAGCTGAGAGTAAGTTTAAGTGGAAAACAGGAAGCCGTTCATTTGGGTGTCTTTGGGGACCAAACAGAGCCTGTGCTGAACACTTGGGACTTCCTGGGGTCCAGGTGTCAGTGTGTTTTGGTCTCACCCTGCATTTGAGGGGTGGAAAGTGCAGGAGGATGGAACCAGCCCCTCTCTGTATTTTGAGCTTTCAGAGCCTGTTCTGAGCCACTGACTTGTTCATCTAGAGAGAAATTTTTTATTGAGCACCTACTATGTGTCAGACACTGTTCTAGGCCCTGGGGGTGCAGCAGTGAACAAAGATACCCCCCAACATGTATTATATACATGTACATGTTGCATTGTCTAAGTGCAGTGAGAAACGAGCAAGGCCTAGACCTTAGAGAGTGTGTGACAACACAGCCACGGGGTCAAACCGCCGGCCTTTCCTCTGATAGTTAAGTGTGCACATGCCCTGTGACCCGGCAGTTCTGCCCCGATGATTGCACTCATTCTCAGAATGTCTTTGGGAGGCTGTGGCAGGAGGATCACAAGTCTGAGTCCAGCCTGGGTAACTTAGTGACTTAAGGGAGACCCTGTCTCAAACTCACTAAAAAATTTCAAATGGACTGGGGGGTGCAGCTCAGTGCAGAGGTCCTGGATTCAACCCTAATACAAGAAAAAAAAAATAAATAAATAAAAAGAATGTCCAGAACAGCTCTGTTTACAGTGGACGAAATTGGGAAATAGTGCAAATGAATAAACTATGATTTAATTCCCATGCTGAAATGTTACACCACATTCCAAAGGCAGGAACCAAAGCCACCCACCACGACACAGCTGGAACCAAGGATTATCATCAACTCACTCTTTTGTGAACCAAGATTAAAGAAAAAAAATGGAGTAAGCAGGGGTGGGAGGTAGCTGGAGAGGTTAACAGGAGGCTGAGGGTTGGTGGTCAGGAAAAGTGTTGCTGAGGTGATATCTGAGCCCAGACTTGAAGGAGAGAAGTAGAGTCATGAGGTAGATGGCAGAAAGTGCCAGATGGTGGACACAATCAGTGCAAAGCTCCTGAGGTTGGCAAGAGAGTTCTCGGCATCTCTAGGAATGGCAGGGAGGTCAGTGGGCGGGGGAGGGAGGGAGCACAGATGTGTCTGGAGCTGACAGGAGTGGGGGACAGAAAGGAGCAGGCTGAGGGAAGGAGAGAGATGTGGGGGAGAGAGGGAGGACTGTCCTGATTCCCCAAGGGTCCAAAGCCTGAGTCTGCTCTTCTCAGCCCGACTGTTCGACTTTCCCTTAGGTCCACAAGATGTTGGTTTCCTCGATTCGATTAACTGGGCTTCTCTGTGGGTTCTGCCCTGCTGGCTGCACACCCTGTGGCCTGAGGGTTCTGTTCTGGGTCCTTTTGGGGTTGCCTAAGAGAATGTGACTGGGGAGGGGGCGCCAATGACCAAGAAGCCAGCAGGAAGGGGGAGCCTGGGGGGATGGAAGAGTAACCAGCCCCTTCACCGAGCACTTACTAGGTACCAAGGATGCTCCCACCCAGCACTGGGGATTGAACCACAGACTTCATGCTGAGCTACATCCCCAGGCCCCCCTTTTTTTTTTTTTGGTACTGGAGATTGAACTCAGGACCTTGTGCTTGTGAGGCAGGCGGTGGCACCACTGAGCTAAATCCCCTGTCCTCCGGGCCTTTTTGTACTTTTTACCCTGAGA